CCTCCCTCTATCTCTCGGCTCTCGCCGTAAATCTCCTGCAGTCTGTCGTTGACGGCCTCTCTATCGTCGAAGGCCTCGGCTGAGATGGCCACGTCTTTGACCCGCGCCTGCCCGGGTGCCAGGCGGCGGACGAAGCGGAAGATCTCTCGCAACTCCCGCTCCGCCACCTCGATGTCCTGCGTCATGAAGCTGCCCATGACGCTGGTATCGACCGACACCGTCAGCAGCTTGACGGGTGGGTAGGCCCGCTCGACAAACGGGGGCGGGAGGAAGAAGGCAGGCAGATCGCCGTCACGCTCCTCGACACCCAGGTCGCCCGAGACGCCCACGCACACCTCCTCCAGAGGCTCATCGTCATCATGAATGGCATCAGCTCGGCCCCTCTGGATGTAGGCGAGCACCTCCGATATCATGAAGCCTTCACACATGACGAGCTGCACCCGCTTGAGCGATGGCAGTGCCGTGAGGATGGCACTGAGGGGATTGACGGCAGGGGGAGGGGCTCGGATGGCCGTGACTGGGTCGACGAGGCCGTCACTGAGCCCGGTACGGTCGATGGCCACGTCGGTGATGGCGGCCAATGCGCCCTCCTCGCCCAGCCAGGGAGGGATCGGGGTGAAGGTGAGGTCGTCTGTCAGTGCATGGGGGTCCGGGGAGAAGCTGATCCACAGGCTGGTGCTATTGTCGAACCGCATCCCGCGGAATTCCGCAGAGATGCGTCTCCCGCCCATCTCATACGTCACCTTCACCTCGGTCCCTCCCTTGGCGTGGCGCTTGATGCTCTCCACTGCTGCCAGCTGGGCCGCTGAAGGACGCCCAGGAGCGGGCCGCGGCCGTCGGAAGCGTAAAGCACCGATCGGAGGTGCGTGGTGCCGCCGTCCCGTATCACCTCGCACCCCCGCTCCTCGGCAAGGCGGATCAGGTGGATGGGCGTGAATCTGGCTGTGGAGGCGGGTGTGGCGTAGCTGTCAGGCAGCCAGTGGGGCAGGCCTGGGTGGATCTCAATCGGGCAGCAGATGTGCAGCTGTTTCTTGGCAGCGGCGGGGGAATGGCCCTGTATGCCCGTGCCGGGTGACGGCGACGAGAGGTGCTGGACCAGGGAGCGGGCGGTCTCCATCGGCAGGTTCGTCGGCTGGTTCGGGTTGTCCGCACATGCTCCCCTGTCTAGGAGCAAATGTCCGAGGAAGCACAGCCGCCTGAGCGACCGCACGGCCGTGACCGTCTCTTCCATGACCAGCCGTGCCCCTGGTCCCTCCACGAGGCTGTGGTTCTTGTCCTTCCGCACCAGGGCAATCGGGAAAATGTCCAGGTGCTCGACACGGGGAGACGAGCCAAGGATGCGCGACAGGGCGGTGTCAAGGGCGGCCACGTTGATCGCTTCCAGAGGCGCGTGATCTGCGCTGTCCATCCCGATGTTGCACGACTCGAGGGGAATGAGCCGGCCCGAGATGCGGCGGAGGGCGGGGAAGACGCACTTGTGGCGGTGCAGCATCACCAGCGCCTCCACGCTGTCAACCTCGAGGGACGTCACGGACGGGAAGACAGTCGGGTCGCCCTCGATCTGCGTCATATCGGCGTCAGTTCCTTGCTGCTCGGCCTTCTCGCCGTCCGCGGGCCGCAGCTGTGTGATGCGGATCTCCTTGAGGGTCTCCCGGTGCCGCAACAGCCGGCCCATGTTGGTCTCGTACACCTCATCTCTCACAGCAGCCACTTTGGCCGGCAGCACGACTATCGCCTGCTGCGCACCGGGCTTCTCCTGATGACTCGACGACGACTGCCTGCAGAGAAAGAAAGATGTTCAAGGCTGAGAATACTCACATGCACTCGTGATGCATGAGCTCTGCTCACCCTTGCGGAAGCAGCGAGTTGGCAATGATGCACACCAGGGCACAGACGGCGTGCTTCAGTGTCCCGCAAAGTGTCCTCAGCGTCAGCCGCTTCCTCGTCGGCAGGTAGCCGCAGATGCGCCACAAAATGCTCGGCACCGACACACGGAGAACACCGCGGGGCACATCTGTGCGAGTGCCTTGCGCATCAGCCTCCATTAGCTAAGCGCTATGGTGAAAAGCGCACAGATTCCGCCGCTCTCAACGGTTTAGCGAAACCCTAAACATCTGACTGCGTCGCTGTGTTTGCTGAGACATGCTTGGCTGGCTTCTGAGTTTCTTCACTTGGCGTGTGTCAACCAACAACCACGTCTTTCTCAAATCCACTCATTCACTCGTTCAAGGCCGGCAAAAAACAGCATGAAACCACAATGGCCATCACTAGGTCTATATAGTGCACATCCATCCCTTTGTTTTGCTGTCTGTCACATTCATTACACCATCCATCCATCGTCCACACCTTCCACACACTCATGCATTCACAGACAGGCATGGGCGTCGGTTGGCTGCATGTGTCCATTGCCTTCAAGGCGGTTCGGCAGGAACAAGTGACCCACATGTTGTTGCCATGTGGAATGTTTCTACCACAGCGGCCCGACAAGGCGACAGCCACACGCACATCCGACATCTCACACAGACAGGAACAAAGGAAGATACAACCAGAAGAGGGATGCGTGTTGCGTTGGTGTCAATGCCGCGCCAGTGTGTGTCGCTCGGCTGCAAGTGCCCGGCACAGGAAACAAGTGAGAATCCGACGTGGCGACGGGCACACACATCCGAGCAGGCACACAGGGCTGCAGGCAGGCAGGCAACAGATACAGAGCAACGACTTCAAGTGAGCATACATTACACACACACACACACACACACACAGGGCACCGGCTGCGACCAAAAACTGCTTTCCAATGCGCCATCCGTCATGTGCAAAAACTGCCGTCTGTCTGTCTGTCTGTTGTCTGTCTGTGTGTCTGTTTCTGCATCCAGCTGGCACCATTCCTCCCTCCCACCCTCCTTGCTCGGTTCATTTCACTCGTATGTTACATACAGGCCACACACACACAATGGGCAAAGCCCTCCCCACCGCGTGGCGTGTGCATACTGCGAGCATACAAATTCACTTGCAATGGCAGCCATACATACAGATCAGCACCCGCATACACACATAGCAGTTGAAAGCCACACGCGCCGCGCCACGCCCCCTCTCTCCATCACCATGAGTGTGTCTGTGTGTGTGTGTGTCTATGCAGCGAACGACTCCGTGAGGAGGGGCTCCTGCGGCATGTCGGTGGCCTCATCCACAGCAGTCTCCTCTATGGCCTCCTTGGCCTCCTGGTTGACGAGCACGGTGTCCTCATCGTCATGGAGGGCCGCGGCCGCACACACATGCACCTCCGACTCGGAACGAGTCTGGACATAGGGAGGGAGGCAGATATGACCACAGTGAGGGTTGAGGTGGTGAGGTGGGGAGGGAGGGAGGGAGTGAGGGAGGGTTGTGTACCGACCGATTGGGGTGCGTTTGAGTAGTTAAGTCCCTCCCGGAGCACCAGCATACTCTCAGTGGGCTCACACATCTGCAGGCACATACAACAACGAAACAACCAACATGTACTTACTGTGCACACGAGACTCCCTCTTCTGACCTGGAAGCCCTCCTCGCCGCCAGCCTCCTTGATGCCCATTTCCAGGTCCTTGGTGTCCATGTCCGTGTCAATCTCCTCGTGTTCCTCTCCCTCCACCTCCCCCTCCCCCTCCTTGTGTGCACCATCAGCAGAACCAGCACCAGCAGCAGCAGCAGCAGCGGCCATAGCAGAGGATGGCGACGGCACCATGACAGCCGAGCCCAGCCAGTCGATGGGGATGCCATTGCCACGGCTGTGCTTCTGAGTGTGTGTGTGTGTGGCGGCGGGGAGTGGGATCTCGCTCTCGGCCACACTCAGGTCCTCGCTCGAACACTCGTCGATGCCCTCCACAGCACCAGGGACCTGACAGACACGAGGACACACAGATGGGTCTGTGTGTGGGGGGGGGGGGGGGGGGGGTGTGGAGGGAGGGGAATTGTGTGTGGTTGGCTGCCTTGAGGTTGATGTATGAGTTGAATGAGTGTCCGAATGAGGACGCCACAGCCGATGACGCCGAGAAGGAGGGAGGGGGCGGCGGCAATGACACCTCCAGCGGCCTGCATTGCAATCATTGACATTGACACAGATCGTCGGCCTCTGTCCCTCTCAAGGCCTTACTTGAAGGCCATGAAGTGCTGCTCTGCCCACTGCTCAGCGTCATCCTTGACGTCAACGATCTCGATGCTGGTGCTGAGGTCCTCCCCGCCGCCCACGGCCCCACTGAGGCACGACAGGTATTCGCCATACGCACAGTCGATGCGGCCCTTGTCGCTCTCCAGCACACTGATCTCATTCAACAGCTGACAGACAGAGCGCGGACGGATGGAAAATGAGATGGCGTATGGCGTATGGATGTGTGTGTGTGTGTGCCTACCCGTTCGTATGCCTCGGTTTTGGCGGCGATTGCGTTTTGGACTCTCTCCTGGTAATAGGCGTCGCCCTCGTATTTGGTCCACTCGTCGCGCAAATCCATCATCATCTGGTAGTTGTTGGACGCCTGTGTTAGCAGAGAGGAAGACAGAGACAGAGAGAGTGTGTGTTTGTGTTTGTGCTTGTGAGAAGCGTGCTGCTATTCATCCGCACCAGCTGCTGTTTCTTGGCGATAGCGGTGTCCATTTGGGTCTTCTGGCGGTCGACCAGGGCCTCCACACGAGCACGGTCCACAGGCAAAGCTGACCGACCGATGCATGCACACAGCGGCACGCCCGTCCCTCGTGTGTGAGTCGTGTGTGTGACGGATTTCTGTCTCTTCTCTTGTTTCCTAAGTAACGTACCCGCCGACAGGTCGTTGACGGCCTTGTCCACACGGCCGTGTACGGACCCCAACACCATCTGCACCCACGAGTCGATCTCAACCTGCATGAATGATGAATGAATGAACCAGCAGCAGTGCAGAGAGTCAGGTGGCCATACGCCGGTGATTTCTCTCTCGCTCTCTGTGTGTGTGTGTGTGTGTGTGTACCGCAGCGTGGACGCCCTTCTCCCATCTCTCGCAGCGCCGCTCGTGCTCCTCACGCCACACCTGTCATGTCATGGACACAGGAATTCACACATACAGTACCAGGCTGGCAGAGGCAGCCACACATACCTCGACAGTGTTGAGTATCTTCTTGAGCGGTTTGTCTGCCGTGGCCACGGCGGCCTCGGCCTGCAGACGCTGCTGCTTGGCAAAGGCCTCAGATTGCTGATCAATGATTGCCCGCCATCACACACATATATATGCGTCTGTGTCTGTGTATGCGTGTTGTGACGGCGGTATCTGTCTAGGTGTCTTATGTACCTCTACTTCGATGAGTTGTTTGCAGAGGTCCGCCATCTGCTCCTTGATGGCCGCGCGCTTGGCCGTGTTGGCCTCCACCAACCTGTGTGACACCACACAACATACACATAGGCATGGTGGACGGACAAGTGGCGCACATCTGTGTGTGTGTTGGTGAGGGTCTCACGCACTCCTTCTCGTAGGCACGGGCTTCCTCGACAGATGTCTTGAGGCCATGCTGGTAGTCTGACAGACAGCAACACACGACAGAGCTCTGTGTGTCCGTGAGTGAGTGTGTGCGGTGCGCGTGAGTGCTTCCGAACCACACCGATCATGTCCTGTGCGCGTTTGTCAAACTGGTAGAGGGTCTTCTTCCACCACTCACACGACTCACGGCCACTCTCAATCAGACCCTACACCACACACACAATCAATAGACAAGCGCATGCACACACACACGCACACACACACAGAGATACGTCTCCGTGCATGTCTGTCTGCCCCTGAGCCCTCGCTCACCTTGCTGTCGGTGAGTATCTGTGCCTGCGCCTCGTCGAAGGCGTCGATCGACCCTGTCTTCTTGAGACACTCGCGGATGGCCGACCCCTGCACCCACCACACAGAGACGGTGAGATGGATGGATGGACGGATGGATGTGTGTGTGACAGGCAGGGCGCGCAGCCACCTTGTCCTTGACGAGCGTGAGGTACTCTATGACGGCATCGATGCGCTGCTTCGACTTGAGGTGACGCTTCACCGGACTCGTCTCACTGCGCACACACGCAAAAGACACACGAGACAGGGAGATGCATGGGACCCTTGTGTGTCTCTGTGGGTGTGCTCTTCCCCTCCCTCCCTCACTCACTCTCTGATGGCGGTGGAGATGTCGCGAATCTTGTCGGCGGACGCCTGCAGCTGCACACGGTGGTCCTTCAACACCATAGAGGCTGACGGACGGACCACACACACACACACACACACAGACAGAGAGAGAGAGAGAGATTGACGACCGTCACACATCGATCCATGTAGTGTCCGCATGCACGTCTCTTATCATGCGCCGTACGTACGTTGTGTGACGTGTGCGTGTGTGACGAACTCGACTATCTTGTCGACGGTCGAGTTGAGGTACTCGCCCTCCTTATCCAGCGGATCTGACAGATCCAAATAGTATGCATCAAATGCACGCCATCCGACGTACGTCTGTCTGTCTGTCTGTGCGTACGCGAGGTGAGCAGTTGAGCGATGCTCGTGAGTTTGTCGATCCACTCGGCGACGCCAAGCTCCGACGCCCAGTCACCATCCTGCAGGCGTTGCGTTCATGGCACACACGGCACAGGCAGGTCAGTCAGATGGGTACCGCGGCTGGCTGGTTGCCATGACACCTGCACTGCACTGCACTGCACTGCACACACACGTACCTCTGTCTGTAGGGCCTTCAACTTGTCCAGCACAACCTGGCTCACCTCACCCTGTTCACAGACAGTGAATGAAGTCACTTCTACTGCTCTGTCTGTCTGTCTGTCTGTGCGGCCGACAGATCTCTCCTCTCTCTCTACCTACCGATGGCTGCAGGGGCGGCATTTGGTCGACCAGAGGCACGTCCCAACCCTTCTCAGCAGACAGCTCCTAGCCCCACACAGAGAGAGGAACACTGGTTGGATGGTGTTTGCATACACTCCTGTGTGTGGCTGGCTGCTGTCATCCGTTCCCCTCTCTCACCTTGATGGCTTCGATGGCGGTGCCCTCGAACTCGGCAACGGTCATGTGGTGCTTCTGGGCCGTCACGTTGCTGCACACACGCACACGCACATGATCAGCTATGTCTTGCCTCCCTCCCTCCCTCCCTCCCCTACTCACCGCGCGGCGTCAACGGTGTGCTGCATCATCTCAAGTGTCTCATTCAGATCGCTGCTGACCCTCGTCGAGTCCTCCTCCTCACCGGCACCGCCCGTCTGTGTGTGGTTCTCGCTCCACATCCACTCCATCGGCTCGGTCGCAGCCTCGCTGGAATGCACCATCGCCGTCTCCGTCGAGGCGTCCGCACGGACATCGACATCATCAACAGCAACACCATCCCCACCCTGCTGCTGCCGCACGAACACAGCCCTGACACAGCCACACAGAAAGAGAGAGACGGTCTAAAACACCTGTGTGGTGCTTTGTTCCCTCCTCTCTCTCTCAGTGGGGGACCAGTGTTTGTCCATGTCTTTGCGGTATGCGACGGCTCTGGCGTTAATGGACTCTGCGATGCTCTCCATGAGGGCCATGTTGATGGGCTGGTCGCCCTCCCGCATCACACCACGGATGTCCCGCACCAACACGCGGAAGCGGCCCTTCTTGCTGATCCAGTGCTGAGGACAGACAGACAGACAGACAGGCAGGCAGACAAGATGACACGTACAGCCCCTCCCTTCCGTCAAGCAAGCATCTCTCTACCTTGAGCCGCTGGTGGCCTCTGAGCTTCTCGAGCGCTTTTTTCTCCTGCACGACCACCAGGAACTCTGCACACGCGGAAGAACGACAAGAAGATTGAAGTGAAGAATGCTCGAGACTGCGTGTGTGCAATGCTCCTGTACCATCCATCGTCTCCCCCAGCAGCTCCCGCGACGAGTCAGTGGCCATCCTCAGTTATGATCTGAAGACCTCAGCTGCTGGTATGGCCTGAAGAGATAGATGCACACACAGAGCAACCAATCCAGAGAGGGGGAGTGCTGGGACGCAAGCTGGGACGTCCTGTCTGTCAACACGAATAGTGAGTGAAGGCAGTGTACCTTACCAGGTAGTGTGTATCAGTCACGCTCCCCTCGCAACTGGCCACACCCTTTTGAGGGGCGCCACGACTTCGGAGCCTAGACTTGCGAGCTCAAAAGGTTTGAGGAGCGTTGGAGTTAGAGCGGAGACCGAGTTACACGTGCGAGATCTACGAGACATGACTTGTGATGCGCGTGGACCCAAGCTTGCGTGTCCATGAGACCCCCGTCGTCACTGAATGCTTCTACCGGCTTCGTCACATTCCTACTCGCTACCCCGAGCTACTGCTGATACTCCAACTCCAACTCCATCCTACTCGCTACCCCGAGCTACTGCTGATACTCCAACTCCAACTCCAGGAGTTGGAGTATCAGCAGTAGCTCGGGGTCGCGAGTAGGAATGTGACG